TAAACGCGTCAATGTGCTCGCCCCGATGTTGCACTTTGCGCTACGCGGGCCCCGCGGCGCTGCTTTTCTATATTTAACGGTGTACTTTCCACTGAAAATCTGTGTAATTGCAAATGGTGGGTCTCGCTCTGTCACTATCGGCGACCTTGCGCCGACCAAGTTCCCGGCCTCTTCTGTCCGCGTTTGCTAAAAATATTTTCACGCGACACGAGTGGCTTGAAACGCGTCACTCTGCAATCATCTGACTACTTAGGCAAGTCATTATGGCTTCGACGACATGGTTAGGCCTTGGTTAGGTCTGACATACTCTAGAGTTAATTAAGTAAAGTGGTGACGCGGTAATATATTGTAATAGTACTATTGTCTTCGACAGGTGTAGCACAAATCTAAGACACTAGGTCTGGATTAGGTCTTGATTAGGTTTCGGTTAGGTCTTCGTTAGGTCTTGTTATTAGGTCTGACACACTCCAAAATTATTTGAATAAAGTAGTAATAATGATATAATAGTTTTATTGTTTTTTGGCAGGTATAGGAGAACTCTGAGACATTAGATCTGGATTAGGTCTTGGTTAGGTCTTGGTTAGGTCTTGGTTAGGTCTGGCATATCATAGAATTAATTGACTAAGGAAGTAATAGTGATATGATAATACTATTCATTTCAAATCTTAGATGCCAGGTCTGGATTAGGTCTTGATTAGGTATAGATTAGGTCTTGGTTAGGTCTTGATTAGGTCTGACACACTCCAGAGATATTCGAATAAAGTAATAATAATGATATATTAGTTCTATTGTTTTCGACAGATATAGCAGAAATCTGAGATATTAGATCTGTATTAGGTCATGATTAGGTCTTGGTTAGGTCTTTCGTTAGGTCTGACGTACCCCAGAATTAATTGAATAAAGTAGTAATAGTAATATAATAATTCTATTCTTTTTGACAGGTATAGCACAAATGTGAGACACTAGATCTGGATTTGGTCTTGATTAGGTTTTGGTTAGGTCTTAGTTAGGTCTTAGTTAGGTCTGGCACACTTGAGAGTTATTCGAATAATGTAGCAATAATGATATAATAGTGATACTGTTTTCGGCAGGTATAGCAGAAATCTAAGACATTAGGTCTCGATTAGGTATAGTTTAGGTCTTGATTAGGTATAGATTATAGGTCTTTGTTAGGTCAGATATAATCCAAAATTATTTCATTAAAGTAGTGACAATAGAATAGTTCAACCGTTTCGCACAGGTTCAGCAAAAATCTTAGACATTAAGTCTTGATTAGGTCTTGGTTAGGTCTGAGATAACTCAAAATTATTTGAATAAAGTAGTAATAATATTATAGAACAGTTCTATTATTTAGGACTGGTACAGCAAGAATCTGAGACATTAAGTATAGATTAGGTCTTGATTAGGTATAGATTGAATCTTGGTTAGGTCCAGGTTAGGTCTGACATACTACAAAACTAATTGCATAAAGTAGTAATAATAATATAATAGCTCTACTGTTTCAGACAGGTTCAGCAAAAATCTGAGACATTAAGTCTTGATTAGGTCTTGCTTGGGTCCTGGTTAGGTCTTGATTAGGTCCAAAATAACCCAAAATTATTCGAATAAAGTCGTAATAATATTGTAGAACACTTCCATTGTTTAGAACTGCTACAGCAAGAATCCGAGACATTAGGTCTGCATTAGGTCTTCATTAGGTACAGGTTAGGTCTTGGTTAGGTCCCGTTAGGTCTCCCTACGGATTCACTAAACGATGCATCCACACAGTTGTCAAACAAATTACCATCCCGAAAGAGTACTTCTGCGCGAACAGACTAGATCCACGTTACCCTAAATGCACCTAACCCATTTCAGATCCAAACAACGACAAAACTGAATCTAAACGAGCCTATCGAAAACGGATGGTGCTATTTTCCCGATTACAGCTAGTCGGCGGCACTTCGGAAAGCGACTCGGCAATTCAGAGCGGGACGGAGGGGGGGCATCGCGATCGGTCGGGGGACGATAATCGTTCAATTAGCATACTGAAATATCGGCGATCGCGGTTAAGATCTCCCGCGCGCGTTTAACGCCAGCTCGGCTGATAATCCGGCGCGTAAAGAGGACGGCGCGTTCGAGAGGCGCGCGCTTCAAATTCCTTCAAGCCCGCACGATTCTACGTTATGAACCTAAGTCGAAGGGGACTGCTATCGGCTCTTGGCTATCCGTAGGTGCGTCCGTCCGCCTGCATTCGCTGCGCGCACCGGCTGCACGCGGTTCTCTCGCGCACAGGTGAGCCGCCGCACAGGCCTGCGCACGCTTATGGCTAGACCCATAGGCCGAGATCCCCGCCGATTGCGTTGCTTTATGGGTTAATTATGTTCGACTGTTCGTTCGTTCGTTTTTTTTTCTGCATACCGTTCGCGGACGAGCCCGCCGACCCACCGGCCATTCTATGGAAAACCGAGCGCGTTTTACGGTACAAGGCTAGTCGATAGGCTGCGGCCTTGCTACCGATTAGCCGCTCGATCGGATCGCGATTAATGTCACCGGACCGTTCCGCGAACGCTACGGCCGCGTTCGGATCTCATTTTTAACATTCGACGAACGAGGGGAAATTCTTCGCGGTCGAGGAAATGATAACGTGGACAAACTTTTTGGGTGGAGATCGGCCGACTTTGACCGACGATAACTCTGAGAATAATCGTCGTAGGATGACGAGGTTGCGTCCGAATTGAAGCTTGAAATCTCCTCTTTGAGACGCTGTGAATCGAATTTAAATGCGCCGCGCCGTCGCTGTAGCAACCCTTTAAATGCGAGGGGATGTTCGTCGTTCGAAGATCTCCGTGTTCGACGAATTTCAGGGACTTTGTCGAATTTTCTTCGGCAATGTCGTTTGCAGCAGAATTAAGAGCGACCTTTCCTCTTTAATTCGAAAAAAGAAGATCGTGGCTGCGATTTTTTTTCGCGGAGATCGAGCACTTTGAAGCGACCCTTGCACTTTCGTTAGGTTCTCGAATACTAGATAAGCTTAATATATTAAATGTTTAATTATATAAATAATTAAATTGTAATATTTTTTTAAATGAATATTCAATTACAATAATTAAGTAAAATT